CAAGATATCTCCACTGTAGTGGCTGTTGTCTTATGGCGTACGGCTGAATCTCCTCAGTAATGGGCATTATACCACCTTCTTAAAGACCATATCCAATATCTAGAGAGTGATTAGTTCACCATCTTTACCTACTTATAAATCATCTCACTGGACACTTGTTAGCTTAAGATATCTCACAGCTAACAAGCCTTTTCTCAGCTGGTATTCTTTTTTCTTCAACAAAATGGTAGTTTTGGTCCTTACTCTATAGTGACTCTGCATGGACAATATGTCCCTTCACATCTATTATTCAAAAGAAAAGCTGAAAAATACTGTGACTTGCTCTTTTCTACATCACTTATCTATGTTTCCAACATGATGACACAAAAGCCTCTGCTCCCCTCTTCTTTCCTATGCAACTCTTAAAATTCTACACAAAGGAATTAAAGGTCACATCCCCAAGTCATATCAACTGGCTGACATAAAGTTATTAAAAATGTTTCTTAAATTAGATTACAAACTTTAGAGACAGAGGTTGAGTAAATAAGTCACAAGTTATAAAACTTAGATAGGCATGCTACACCAAATTCTCAGGAACCTTGCAGGAACACTTCATGATTCTGAGTTTAAGGTACAGGAGGGATGCCTTCATACATCCATCTCTCTTGGATGTCAATACTGCTGAAGGATGCCTGGTATTGACAGACTCTGGCTTTAATTAGTTTTACAGATAGAAAATCAACTGCTGATATCAGCTACCACCCACTGTGGGGTGCATCCTGAGACACTGGGACCATTTTGATTCAGAGATCCTTAAGAAGAAGAGATTGATTTTCACTTGTAATTTTTGCATGGCTTCAATATGAATTTTGGGATACAGAGAAATAGCCCCTCAATGGAAGTCTAAACTATAATTCTATCCCAATTAGATTCCTTTTGCAGAAAAGAAGGAAAATGGTCAGAAGTCCCCTAGGTATAGGCTTTGTTTTTACTGGGCAATCAAAAAGATTTATGTGCTCAGTAGGACATTAGTGATTTCCTTTTAGCAATTATGAGTCAAGACATTGTTGGCCTAGGGGATCCCCCCAAACTATACCTTCCTCCCTCTCAACGGTGCATTTCACACTCATATCTGTCAAAACCTAACTCTCCCTCTCTCCCTCTGTACCCACCATCCCTTCCTACTGCTCTCCCTCCCCCCATCCTGGTTTGACTCATCATAAGCCCATCTCCAGATTATGCCCATTACAAGAAACAAATGGAAAATTTGGGTCAGATTACAGATGCCTTTTTCTATGCTAGATCTAAAACAAATCTAATAGGCTTTGGGGAAGTTTTCTTATGATCCTGATAAGTACATAGAAGGATTGCAACATTTAACCCAGGCTTTTGATCTAACCTGGAGAGATATAACAGTAATTTTGAGTCAAACTCTAACAGACACAGAGAGACATCTGGTGACAGTAGCTGCTGGGGCTTTGGGGATTGGTTTACATATTACTCACACTATATACCCTGTGGGTTCTTCAGCTATTCCAACTGAGTACCCTAATGGAATTATGATGAATCCTCTGGCAGGTGGCATAGGGATCACATGATCATTTGTTTCATGGCAGAACTTAGAAACCTATTGATTACATGAAATTGACCACTATCGATCAGGAGTTAGAGGAAAATCCCATGACTTTTCTAGAAAAAGTGAAGGAAGCCTTAGTAAAATCTACACCTTTAGATCTTACATCTCTTGAAGGCAACATATTTTAAAAGATAAATTCAATATTCAATCCATCTCAGATAATGGAAATAAATGACAAAAATTGGCAATGGACCCTGAGGCTTCTCTTGATGATCTACTCCAGGTAGTCTCCAAGGTTCTTTTATAACTGAGACTGAAAGGAAACTTTGAGGAACCAGCTAAAGGAGAAAAAGAGAGGCAAGAGATGGGTGCAATTATTGGCTGCAGTTCTTAGAGGGCACCCATTTCCTCTTCCATGGGACCTTGGTGACCCATGTCATCATTGCAGAAAATCAGGACACTGGAAGAAAAATTGTAGAATTAAGGGCAGGCTTCCAAAAACTCCTTGCCATATATTTGGCAGGAGAGTCTTCTGGAAAGCTGATTTCCCTGAGGACAAAAGGGGCCCCACAGATCAGATATTCTCCAAATGATGGCCTAAGAATAAGGATACCTTTAGAATCAGGTAGTGCTCCCAAACAGTCAACATCAGTGGGGCAGAACTGAGGGTAAAATTGGAGGTAAGAAATGGGGCCATGCAATTCCTTTTGGATACCAACCCTACGTATATAGTGTTTTAACCTCTTTCCCTGAACACCTTTCTGCTTATTCCTGCTTGGTAGTGGAAATCAGTGAAATACCCAAGGTAAGACATTTTACTCATCTTTGTTGCAGTTGGGAAGATATAATATTCACTCATTCTTTTTTGGTAATGACTGAATATCCCACTCCAATATTGGGGCATGGTATGTTAACCAACTTAGGTGCTTGTCTAAGTTTTTCACTCAAGGCACTGTGTTCTTTTCTTTTGGTGTTGTCAGCAGTTGAACAATCAGAACAATGGATTGACACAACCCTGTTGGGTTTCTCCCTACAAGGGAATGACTAGATAAATGACAATCTTTAATAATAGAACAAAAGGAGGAAACATATGCATTACAAACCACTACTCATGCAGATTTTAAATTATGGCCTGAAATAAGATTTTGTCACACCCAAGTCCTGGAAAAAGCCTCACTTCTAAACCAATTTCCAAGCTTTTGCAATCATTAAGGCCCATTTGAGCCAATCCACTATCAATGTCAGAATATCAAAGATATAAGGATGGTTACTATCAAATTTGGGATGGTAATATATGGCTTATGCACCCCATAGGACAAAATAAGAAGGCCCCAATCTGTTGGAAAGAATGCAATCACACTTACAAATGGCTAATTCCACATAAGAGTTAGGATGAACACCAGAATCTCAATGTCAATATAGTGTGATTTTACAGGCTGATGATTGGTTTGGGACTAACTAGTTCCTCAGTCCTGGAATTAGATGGCCAGCACTCAGTTGGACCATTGGATATGTGGTACAAACTCATGGCCCTAGATTCCTCCACGCTGGATGGGAAGATGTACTATTGGGTATTAAAGGATGCAAGGGAGGTGGGCCCCTCAAATAGGATAACCTACAAACCTCCCCAATCTCAAGCATAGACGGGGATGGTCTGTTTCTCATTGGAATGATCATTTAGCTTCACTGTTTATCTCACAAATTGGTCTAGAGAATGTAATCTGACCATTTATACCCATGCAGCTCTCCATGACACTGAGAAAGGTGGCACTCATAAGAAAAGCTGTTTTACAAAACTGAGTGGCCTTGGATGTTCTCACAGTAGCTCAGGGTGGTACTTGTGCCATCATTCAGACAGAATGTCGTGTTTATATTCCTGACAACTTTGAACTCAATTCCTCAAATATTTGCACTTTCAAATAGATCCTGTGTCCTTCCTGGCCTTGTCATGAGGACAACTTTTAGTTCATGGTTTTATGGAACTTCCTTGTGGAGGAAATTGCTAGTATCTATAGTCATTCTCAAACTCATTGGTGTGTTTGGACATTGCTGTGTCTATTTTTTTCTATCAATCTTATTCTAATACTTAGGGTTTTTTTTTTTTTCTTGTAGGGCATCCGCCTCCCAAATTGTTTACAATCTGTTTCTACTAAATCAGAGATTTACTGTGGTTTCCTGGATAGGTCTTACTCATAATCCAGACCATTTCACTGACAGAGAATATTTGGGATACCTACCCTGTAGGCCTCTGCCCCTATTCAGCAGAAAGTAGCTAATGATCTGCCTTCATTGCCCCTATTCCTAAAGTGAATTAGGGTCTCCAATCCTTGAGAGGGGGAAATCTTAAGTAGTAGTTACTAATAAACAGTGAAATGCAAGGTCATGGTTTTTCTTTAATTTTAAGGCAAATGGGTCATCATATAACTTGTAAAAAATAAAAATCAGGTGTACAGACATGTACATTTAAAAGTGGCCAATTTCATGCCACTTTTAAACTTTTTATTTCTAGTAACAAAAAGGACATAGTCAATAAAAATATAAGTTGTATGTCTGTGTCTATGTCTGTATATTTCAAAGAAAGGATTCCATCAAACTGATGACAACAGTTATTTATGGGGAAGACTGTGGCTTTGGAGAGGTGTATAAAGAGAACTTTCATCCTTACTTTAGGTACTCCTCAAATGTTTTGCTGTTCTTGTATTGAGTGTATATTGTTTTATATTACTTATATATTATTGAGTGTATATTGTTTATATTGTATATTATGTGTGAAATAGAAAAGCGTTAGTTTTTTTTTTTTTTAGAAGAATTCCTAGTCTCAGATATACAAACCAAGAACTTCAAGGAATTTTTAGGAATGTCAAAGAAAGGGAAAGAATTAAAATTTATCTCAAATTCACATGAGCTTGTAGTTATTTTTAAAGATTTTACCAGAGTAAGAAAATGACTGTATCTAAGACTATTTGAGAGTAAAAGGGAAAAGAATTGAAAAAACAGAAACCCATGTAATTTTTTTTATAAATCATATAAACTTCCCAAGTAAAAGATTTACTATTTAAAAATCAATCAATTCATAAGCATAAGATTTGAAAACATTGTGGCTAAAACCAGTAAAGCTATTAAAAGATTTAATTCTTTAAGGATCAAGTAAGTGTTAGCCATAAAACAAAATGAAAGAACATCTGGAAGGCAAAGAGGTTGAAAGATTGGAAATTAAAAAGCAAATTGTATGCTTAGTGCTACTGAGGGACTTCAGCAAATGGATATGAACCCATTTGAAAATAAATACAGAGTTTGTGTAATTACAATGAGCCGAAGATGGATTTAGCATTTATATATCTCCTGGGAAGCTTTGTGAGTTAGCAACATAAAACCAAAGTACCGTGAGGTTATTAAAATATTACTTCCTGTTGTATCATAGAACCTGAGAAGAGAATAAACATACCGATTACTTGTGTGGCTGGTTCCACATCAGTTGTGGCCTCTTCCAACAAGGACAGCAGCTTGGCTGATATCTGATGCACAGATTCAATGTTGCTAAACAAACTCTCCACATCCAGCCTGTCAATCTGAAGAAACACAAATATTGAGTACCAGCTGATGGAAAGAAAAGCCTTCTATGTAGGCTGCTTTCTCCTATAAACAGTAAGCATTAGATTTGCCAGTATATGCTGCCTTATTAACCATTTCTGTAAACATTTTGGATTCAGAATTTCTAGAATAGATGTGCAGTTTTTCATTCTGGAAATTGAGATGGTGTTCTGTTATTTTTGTCTTTAAGTATGTAGAATTGAGAGTACAGCTACATAGCCTGATAAAAACCAGAATGGGAAGAAGATTTAGTCCTAACTGGTATTCTTAATTAATGCCCTTTAGGAAGATATATACCAGTGTGTATAAATTTAGAATATTTTGCTGCTTTCAAAACAGAAGACAAATCTTACCCTTGTCAAGTAACTATGTTCAGAGCTATTTTTAAACCATACATATTCTAAAAGTGATGACAAATAGATGGGCTGGATTGCTTCTGGTTCTTTTCCTTAGAAATAAATGTGAATGGAAATATTCACCAAACATATACCATTTAAGGATTTATCATATTTGTAATTTCACGTACACCCTCAAAATCATTCTTTCGATCAGTGTAATATTCCTAGATCTTATAGACAGTGCTTATAATAATGGAAAATTATTAATTTATCCATTCTTTCATCAAACATTTCCCGAGCATCTTCTAGTTACTGAGAATTGGAATAGAAGGCAGACTCTGTCAGAGGTAGCAGCTGATTAGTAGTGGGACAGCCAACTATCCTGTGCCATTTCAGTGTGGTGAGATATATGCCTGATTTTGGTGGATCTGATTCAGAATTCATCCCTTGAGTCAGATCTCCTTCCATGGTCAAATAGTGCTTATTCAGGGCATTACTGCACGGATGCAGGCTCCACCAGGGCACAGCAGGGAATAGGAGTGGGTACTGTTTACCCATAACTTATTGTTCATGAGGTCATCAGTGAACAATTTAGTCATCAATAATCGGGGAGTTCAGGTAAGGAAAAGGGGCTGATGAACTAAGGGAAATTAGGAACAAGATGTATAAGATAAAATCAAGACCTGGAGGAATTCTGGAGCTAAAGACCAACGTCTTCAATCTCTTTCCCATGCTTTCAGAATAACTTTCTTAGGTATGCTAGGTCTACTTGAGGGGAGGAAATGTGAGAAATATGCTTACCTGTGAGAAACACACTCACTTAACCCAAATCCAAAGAATGGGCTCTGAGACACAAGGTACAGCAAAAAAAAAAAAAAGTGAAACTTTAATGACAATCTTGCAAGATCAGGTTTCCTGGTGGTCAGGGGCCCTCAGAATGGTTACAATCAGCATTTTATCCCTAGTGCTAAAACATTCGCCCCCCCCACCCGATTCCTCATTGGCTCAATACTATGGGATACATAGTCTTCCCAAACGTCACTAGACTTTACTATATCCTATTGGGTTATTTAAAGAAATAAAGCTTTAGTTTTCCCCATCTCCCTTTGTTCTCTTGTGGTGGGAAGTTCTTCTGAGGGTGAGGTTTGACATGTACACAGATCTTACTTCTTTAAGTAAGAACTATTTCTTAACCGACAATTCCTATCTCTATTGGTCCATTACCCCACCTCCTGTTTGCCAAGGGGCTGTTCAGGCCTGTGGACTTTGGATATGCTGCATCCATAGGCTATGGTGCTATTGTGTGAGTTAACTGCCTGTAACTTTCCATTCAGTTCTATTCCCCCTATTGCTGACTTCTTTACACCCCAATTATTATTACACCCTCTTATGGCTAAATACTGTATTCTGAAAATGGACCACCGAACTTTCTATTTCTCACAGAAGGAGTCTATTCTTTTTTTTTTTTTAATTCCATCCCTTTTTTGACATTGGCCCATCTATTGTTCTTCATATTGGAAACATATTATTTTGGTAAGGATATTTTGTCATTGAAATTAGAAGACTGACTTCAGATTCCACCTTTTAAAAACATGCAATTAGATCATGCTAAACACATTTTTTTAACCATCTTGAAAAATTCCTCACTTTCCTATCATCAAACCTTTCCTAAAGATAGCTCCCAGTCTCATTTATAACCAAACCCATATGACTGTATGCAACAATTTATTTCAATATTGGATTGGATAACTTATTTTTTCACTATTTTAAGTATTCTAAAATTATCTGTATCTGCATAATAATCAATACATTATTATCTCTGTTGACACTTAGGGTTCTTATTTCATTGTCTCCCCAAATGTTCCTTCAATTAATCATTCACTTTAAGAGAAAAGAGCACATGTGACTCTTTTGCCTGAAATGTAGGGATATTCAGCACTTATAGTTTCTGTATTAGGAAGTATATCTAAAAACTATACAAAATATCTAAAGGCATATAACAGTAATGACTCTTGTTAATTACCACTTATGAAATTGTCTTTTAATGATAAGTTGTTTGTATTTTAATTTAATGATAATCATTAACTTAACATTTAATGATAATTTATTATCAATTGTTTGGAAGTCACATATTTTTGCCTACCACTGATTTAACACACTAAAAGAATTGCCTTCTGGGTAGTAATTAAATTCACAAAGGTGTAACTTTGCATAGGGCCATATGTTTTCCAAAACTTGTGTAGGAATCAAGTTTTTGTACATTGAATTGCTTTAAATGTACTGGCTCTTTATTTCTTCAAGTCACTTCTAAAATGATTCCTTCCAAGTGTGAAATTTTATTCCCTAATTTACTCACTTTATAAGGTAGAAGATTAAATGTGGTTTATATAATATATCCCTATTATTATTTCATTTTGTTGTGGACACTTTATTCTGAAGACTTGAAGTGCTTCATATTTATTATTTCACACATTACTCCGACTTCTCTGCAGAGTGTGAACCAGTTTGAAGATAGAAAAACTAATGCAGAGCCAAAACAGGTGTAATACTCAAAATTATGCAAAAAGCTCAAGACAGAGTTAGGACAGGAAATTGACCTTTTAGTTCTATTCCTTAATCCACTACCAGCACTACTTTGCCATCTCTACTTCAACTGTTTTGGTTTGTTGCTAATTTTCTTACCAAGTTGTTATTTCCTCAAATTTATTACCCAAGGTCACTATTCTGCATATCTAATTTGGATTATAAATCCATTTAGCATGAATCTAAATTCTACATCCTATCTATAATCTTAGCTCAGTGCAAAAAATACTAAGTATCAAAAATTTAAGTTTTAATTCCATTTCTTCCTGAAGGACAGAAAGGATTAAAACATCAATTGGCCTGGTTTCAATCATATCACCATGGGCCCATGGGGATTCTGTGAATCATAAAATGAATGCACATCAAGTCACTGCTGTTCTGAGGAACAAACAAATGTCTGGTCCAAATAGGCTTTTAAAACTGACAGATGATTTTATGATTACCGACATAAATCAAGGAAGCATACACATATATATTTATTAATCATTTACTAGAAATAAGCAATGCTCTAAGAGCTTAAAAGTTGAATTATATTTTAAGTGGATTAAAAGTTAGTTTTTGAAAAGGACTTAGTGTAAGTATACGCTATTCTAGGCCACATCAATATATAGTAATTCAGACTTCACCAAAAAAAAAAAAAAAGAAGGTCAGTGTTTACACTAAAAATTTAATTAGTTGCTTTATGAAAGTATTCATCATGAAATATACTGCAAATGACAAGTTTTCATTACATTTAAATAATGACTAGATTTTAAAATTAGGTGGCATGATGCCTCCAGCTTTGTTCTTGTGCTTAGGATTGCTCTGGCTATTCCGAGTCTTTGTAGTTTCCGTAAAATTTCCAGGACTTTTTTTTCTATCTCTTTGAAAAATGTCTTCAAAATTTTGATATACATTGCATTGAATCTGTAGGGTGATTCGGGTCATATGGACATTTTAACAAGATTATTTCCCAGTTCAAAAACACCTGATATCCTCCCATTTTTCTGAGACTTCTTCAAATTTTTTCATTAATATTTTGATGTAGAAAACTACTATAAAGCTATAGTACTCAAACCAGCATGGCACGGGCATAAAACTAGATGAAGAGATTAATGGAACAAAATAAAAAACCCAGAAGTAAATCCACACACTTATGCTGCATTGATTTTCAATGAAGGTGCCAAGGACACACAATGAGGAAAGGATAATCTCTTTAATAAACTGTGGTGAGGAAACTAGCTGTCCACATGCAAAAGAGTGAAAGTGGACCCTTTTCTAACACTACATACAAAAAATCAACTCAAAATGGATTAAAAATTTATACATAAGATCTAAAATGGTAAAAATCATTGGGGGAAAAATCAGAGAAAAGCTCTGTGACATTGGTCTGAGTATTGACGCATAAATATATATTTTTGGTACCAGAGGTTGAACCCAGAGGTGCTTAGTCACTGAACCACATCCCCACTTTTTATTTTTATTTTTTTTTTATTTTGATACAGTGTCTTGCTAAGTGCTTAGGGCCTTGCCAAGTTGCTGACTCTRGCTTTGAACTTTTGGTCTTCCTGCCTCAGCTTCCCAAGGCACTCTGATTACAGGTGTGCACCACTGTGCCAGACTGATATTTTGGGATAGATTTAAAAGCATAGACAACAAAAGTAAAAATAAACAAATGAGATTACATCAAACTAAAAAGCTTCTGCACAACAAAGAAAAAAATCATCACAGAAAAGAGACAATCTATGGAATGGAAGAATGTATGTGCAAACCCTACATCCTAAAGGGGCTAATGTCCAAAATACACAAGGGCTCACCCATACCATATCACTAGTAAGGAAAATGGACAAAAGACCTGAGTAGATATCTCTTAAAAGAAAACATTCATGTCCAATAAGAATATGAAAAAAATGCTCAATATAAATCATCAGGAAAACACAAATTAAAAACACAATAAAATAGCACTTCACACCTGTTAGAATTTCTATTATCAAAAAGACAAGGATGTGATGAAAAGAATATCTTTGTACTTTGGAGGTCAAAGTGTAAATTAGTGTAGCCATTGTAGAGAAGGGTAG